TGTGTGTGTGTGTGTGTGTGTGTGTGTGTGTGTGTGTGTGTGTGTGTGTACAGCTGCTCTCATAACAAACTGACAGCTACCTGTGTGTTTTGCTGTAAATTTCGTGTCGGCACCCAGCTACTCTCAGTTTAACCAACTGCGTGTGTGTGTGTGTGTGTGTGTGTGTGTGTGTGTGGCGCAGCTGTCCCATTAGAAAGTGACAGATAATACTGACTTCCACGTCTCACGGGAACACAGTTTCCCCTGTTACAGATGAAGAGTCCTCAGTATTGGTGGCTTAATGTACTGTGTGACACTACTCCACTTCGGGGTTAACTGTCCGCCAGCCCCATACAGCCATGATGGTATTGTCCAACGCTAATGCCGCTCTAACTGCACACTGCCCAAGGCTGTGAGCAGCGGGGTCGAGGTTGTGAAAACGCGCCGCATGTTACCTCACACACATACACACACAGGGTCGGGCACATTGCGAGCGGTGCAGCGGAGCCCTCGATGTATGCAGTATCTCTAAAGGATTCTACTCCTGCATGACAAGCAGCGTCGTACCTCTGCACACGCTGCACCCTATCTCGCACTGCAGCACCTCAAGTCAGCGCCGTTGTTTTTGTTTTTTTAAATTTGAACTTCTTATGCAGAAGTCGTGCTGGCGGTGTACACGTTTCCCCCGTCTTGCAGCGTCCGCTGAGGTCTTCCTTCATCATTTAGTGGAAACATTGTAGACACTTGTTTTAGCTGAGGGTCGTCTGCATCCACTCAGCGTTATTTACCTGCAGTACGAGTCAAGCCGTATTCTGTTTTAGTCCATTATAATTATATTTTGGTTGGTTATTGCTGTTTATTTTGTAAATTGTATTTATTTAGATGCACTTTTAAGCTTGCTTTAGATTTTATTGAAATTAACCTTTTTTAATTATTTATTTATTTATTTAGTCTGCTTCGGTTGTCATCATCTATAACAACTACAATTTACAATTATTTTCATTGATTAATCTGCTGATTGTGTTTTCAGTCAATGAATGGTTTTGCCCCCTGTAATATAATAGTAATATATAAATGCCGGTTGTAATTTCTAACGGCCCAAGTGAACTTCTTCAAATATCTTGTTCTGTCAGACAAACAAAGATATTCAGTTTACTATCATTCATGGCAAAGAAAAACTGGATTATTTTGGTTTGAAAATAGTCGGCTTTTATCTCAGTCGTTTCATCGACTGATCATTGCAGCTTCAATAACCTTTAACAAAGATTTAATAATCTTTTTGCACAATGATGGCAGTCCTGGGACACAAAAGCAGCCGTCTGGTAAAGGCAGAAAATGATGACCGCCTCTCGAGCGGCGCTGTTCTTTTGTCCGTACACAAGCAAGTCCTGCTGCCACTGAAAACACAACCTGTTATCTGTTTATTTCCAGTTATTCGATCTCTGCAGCATATGTTTTGGTCTGTACTGGTGTGCCAGAGTTGTGCTTAGGAACTTCTTTATTTTTAGATCCTCTTGCTTTGCCCAAGGTGAGTCAGAGTGTGAGAGAAAGGGCCGTCAGTGTGATAATGATGCTGATGAACTCAACTGTCAAAAACAAGCGAGCTGTTTGTCACAGATCCCGGCGCAGCCACAGAGCTGCTGACACTGACAGACAGCGTCGCGTTTGCCTGTAGTTTAAAGTTGGAGCATTTAACATTCCCGTTGTTACATTAAACATAAAGTTTTCCGTCAGGTCCTCGGTCATGCCAAATAACCACCCATGTGTCCTCTGGTGCTGAGCCTTCTGGAGTATTGGTGTGTTCCCAGGAACAGCTTTTCTGTAATCCGATTGGCCCACAGTCAGGAAGGAGAGACGGGAGCTTCTGCAACAGAGGCCACCGTATAAGGAGATGGGCTGCGGCTTACGCTTTGATCGACGTCTCGGTGCAGTAGAAGCTTTAAGTGACTTCAGGGGCGGGTATCGATGGTTTTAAAAGGGAAAAAAATAAATTCTCCCTCTGGCTTTCATCAAGCGTGGCAGGCGAGCATGAAGGGGGAGGAGGGGGAGGGAGAGAGACGCAGGCATACTTAGTTCTCCGACCACAGGAGAAGAAAAGAGACGGGTTGCAGAGGGAGAGGAAGCCGTAAAAAGAGTATTTCTGTCTCCAGCGAGGCGTCTTTACAGGCGCTGCAGAGCTCCAACACACAGACTGTTGCATGATTGATGAGTTTCATCGCCACTCGTCCGTTCATCCAGCGTCTTTGCGGCGGCTGCTGTGCGTTTCACTCGGGTGGTTAGAGGGTTAAAGTCAGCAGACAGACATAAACGCAAGCTTGAAAAGGTTTGCAGTGAACCCCCCCATCATCCTCCTCCTCATCCTCTACGTGTATGGAAAAACATATGGTGTCTCAGGTAACACAAGTGCTGCGTGTGCGTACACATGAGGGGAGAGTGGAACTGTAAGGATGGGTAGCTCCTTCTCCAGATGGTCCTCGTTATTTAGTAATATCGGACACGTTTCAGTCGATACTCGACCTTCTCTGTTTACCGATCGCATCTCTTGTCGTCTCCAAAATTCTCTCTGGAAAGTTTCGGACCAGATATAACTCTTAATAGAGCGTGTCATTATTTCCCATAATCCCCTTCCCCCTCCCTGTTAAGCCCCAGCCCATGTTTCTTTTTCCATTATTCCCCCCCACCTCTCTCCTTTTTGACTATATGATGCTGCCATGTAGGGCAGTGCTGCTCCTCAGTCAGCGGGTCAGGAATGCCTGTGTGGACTTTAAGGAGGTGCTGTTCTCAGCTCTTAATCCGCTGACAGCTTCCATTCGTCTGCCTGTTTATGAGTTCATCCATTAATCCAGTTCGTGATTGTTTCTGCTTTGTTAGCTCGAACTAACCCTGCTGATGAAAATATCTCACGGTCACGAGCACAGTGCCGGTGTTCTTTCAACCTTTCGCAGCTGGAGACTCAAAATTATAACCGCTTAAAATGCTTCTTCACATGACCGATCATGTGGGAGCTCCAGATGCTCAGATTATCTGTCTAAGAACTATCACTGACTGTCGGTGTAAACTGTCAAACATTCTAAATGTTCTCCATTGACTTTGTTTTAGTCATCTATCAACGTAAAATACAAACCATTCACAAAATTAGGACATTATTACATTATTTTTTTATTTAAACGGGTCATAATTCCCTCCCTTATGTCTCTTCTACGTCGCTGTGTTTTAAATATCATGCGGTGGAACACGTGTGTGTAAATGTGACCGGCAAACAGATCTGAAATATGAGACTGATTGCCGGTTTGGATCGATCGGTGCATCTCTAGTGGGAGCATCGTGTTGTGACATCTGGTCCAGTTGTTTCAGGGAACCATTGAGATAGAATAAAGAAATGATGAACCGTGTTTTAAGATCTGGCATCTCCGTTAATGAAATATGTCATTTCAGGGAGACCCGGTCACTGACAAGTCAAGTCAATTATATTTACACGGCCCGAAATCACAGATTGGCCCCAAGGGGACCGGCTCTCCTTGACTCTCTCTCTCTCATGCTGTGAGGCTGAACGCATAGACGAGCACTCCTGTTCATACACGATTATTTCAAATCAGAAGCTTTAACCTTCTTGTTCTGTTGTCACCCTACTTTTTTCTAATTCTTGTGCTCCCTCTTCTCTCCCACTGCTGAGCATTTTCAGTGTGTGTGACTAAGCCAGGGGCCTGGATATGCCCATAGGACACACCCTTTAGTGGCTGAACACAGGCTGCTGCATGTTTATGAGCTCACATGCCCTAACAAGTACACTTGAGGCTTTGATCATTCCTAGGCCTAGGCCTAAGCAATGAATTTTCTTTTTTTTATCACTAGATACCGTAGCAGATGGGAACACAATCGGCTTTCGGGCGCTCCTCCCCCTAACACGCATTCAGCCTCACTTTCCCAGATTTTTTCCATCCTTTTTTTTGTGGTGGGGGGAATTGTGCAGCCCTCTCTATCTGTTGGGCTGGCCCACAGAAGCTGTCTGTGTTGCAGATGGGCCCTTTTTTTTTTTTTTATGCCTCAGCTGTCTGTTTACGGCCAATAATGCGGTAGACACGCTGCAGAAGAACAGTGAGCAGTCAGGCTATAGGACTAGAGCGCGGGGAGGGAGCTCGTTGGCTTTGCGGCATCTTATGGTTACTCCGTCTAATTAAAATGGCTGTCTGGAGACCCAGCGGCTTTAGGCGTCGCCCGGCCCCGATCCAGCCCACGGCAGGGAATGGACCAGCGGTTAATGGTGTTTGAATGCCGAGTGTTATGCTGCCTGGCCTGGTGCAGCCTTGACGCCAAACCCACTCTCTTTTTTGAAAAGCTTTATTTATTTTACAGCTCATTGTGTAACTCGCTGTCCGTCCACTGTGTTTTGTTGAACTTACTCCAAGACGCCCTTGAGTGTGTGAAACGATTGAAGCAAAGCAGCATTGCAGACTCACCACACACGCACATATACAAGGTGTGTGTGTGTGTGTGTGTGTGTGTGTGTGTGTGTGTGTGTGTGTGTGTGTGTGTGTGTGTGTGTGTGTGTGTGTGTGTGTGTGTGTGTGTGTGTGTGTGTGGAGAGCAGCAGCAGCAGCCATAAAGACTCTGTGGATGATCCTGCTGCTGATGTAACGGTGCAGAGAGGCTGAAGTCTCCGCTGATACACAGTTCATCTGAATTATAGATGGCCTCTAAAAGAAATAAAAAAAAAAAAAATCCAGGAGCAAGTGTTCACACAATGCAGCAGTGGCTGCAAACACGTCACGGTTAGCGTGGTGCTGTAGTTGCTTATTTCCCCGCGTGTCCATCCATCCCATAAGCATCTCTGTATCTCAACCCGTGTATCCAGTTTTCTCCCTCTTAATAATAGATGTGTTTGCTGTAAATATTTCATGGTCGGCTGACTGAAAACTCATGCCTGTCAGAGATATGGAGGTAGAGGGATGGGGAGAGGGTAGCAGGGAGGGAGTGGGGGGAGGGACTGAGTGGTGGGGGAGGGAGGGAGAGTGTGAATATTAATAGGCAGGATTTGAACCCCCTCATTCTGCCTTCATCAGGACGCGACAAAGCACTGCTTACAGTGTACATATGTTAAGTTGTCTCCTTCTCTTCTCTCCTCCCTCCCCCCCCCGCTCCCACAGGGCTCTCAGGATTCGACAGGAGGACAGGAGGGATTGGTGGCCCCGCCCTTTTCAGCGTTCCCCCCTCCACCCCCTCCTCAAAACGGGCTGCCAGGGACAGAATTTGGCCCTGGGGCCATGTTTGGTGCTGGGGGCGCGGCTGACGTGGGGGCCGGTGCTAACGGAGCCGCCTCCTCCACCACCACCATCACCACCAACAGCATCATCGTAAGCACGGCCTTTAACAAGTTTATCGTTATCTGTCACACGTGTGGGATGTTGAGGCGTTTTGCATTTTAGTTTGTTGTGTCTGTTTTCCTCATACTGGATTTCTTGAATATGAAAAGTAACTGTACGATTTATTATATTCATTTTTAAACACTTTTATTAAATACAATTGCAGACATTAACCCTGGTTTCTGCCTTTATCTCTAAGGATGAACATGTAGCTCTACCACTACCATCCAGACTGGATGGATTACCATTAATTAAAAAAATCATGTAAAGACAAAATGTTGTCCAAAACTGTTCATGACCAAACCTACAAAACCTTCCCATCAGCCCCAGCCTGACTTTGTGTTTAGGGCTAATTAGTCATTGTTGGCATGTTAACGAGCTAAACTAAGACGGGGAACATGGTATAAAATGATACCTCCTAAAGATAAGCATGTTAGCATTGCCACTGTGAGCATATTAGCAAGTTTGACATTAGCATTTAGCTGAAAGCAACACATTGCTGGCCAGTAACTATGTATCCTTTAAGATGCAGTTGAGGTCATAATGTTTATTTCATGCAGCAGAGCTTTAAAATAATTATCAGAAGCCATTTTATCGCCTTTAACTCCACCTATTGCTCCTTCCTCACCCTTATTCTCTCTCCCCCCCCCTCCTCAGGGAAAGACAGACGAGGTGCCCCAGGGTGAGGCGGGTGTACCAGGTGGCACGGGAGGCGGAGGCTCTGTGGAAGATTTGGATGACAAAGGGACCCCCAAACGCCTCCACGTCTCAAACATCCCCTTCCGCTTCCGGGACCCTGACCTCAGGCAGATGTTTGGGGTAAGAAGCTGGGAATGTCGTGGGCCTCATTTTTTTTTTTTTAACGGGGTTCAATAAATCAGTCTAGACACCCCGGGTCCACCATGGCGGGGCCAGCCCACGAGGGGACAAAATAGTCAAAACTACCACAAAGGAAAGAAACTCATGGGTGTTCTCTTTGTGCTTGAAGGGGCAATTAGCTGCCATGTGTGTTTTAAAATGAGGGACGAAGTGAGAGGAATAAGAGCAGAGCAGAGTTCAAGGCAAGAGGATAGAAGGAAAGGCATTGAAAGCTAATGGGAAGTCGTCTTTTGTGTAATAGTGACACCTAGTGGTATGCTGTTGTAACACCATGTGAGAAGCTTCTGATTTAGCAGTATTATAAAAGACTGATATGTAAGGATCCAGTGACTGCTTTCTTTGCTTTTATATGCTTGCTAATTTCTTGCCTTAAATTTCTTTGCAGCAATATGGGAAGATTCTGGATGTAGAGATCATTTTCAACGAGAGGGGCTCAAAGGTAAGTGCGCAGACGACGCCTGATTCGCCACAATTCTTGCTTTACTGACAGTAATTCCCACATTGCATGGTTTTTTTTTTGTTTTGTTTTTTCTCTGTGAATGCGACACTTTGTGACGTGGTATCAGCGCGCCACGTGGGGGATCTTTGTTACGAAACTCCAATTATGTCTTAAACAATGTCAGGGTGCACCCCGAGGTCTAAGGATGCACAGATGCTCCACGATCCCTGATGATGTGCCCTTCACTCTCTCACTCACCGCCAACCTCTTTAACCTCTGCCGTGTACCACAGGGTTTCGGCTTTGTGACATTCGAGACCAGCGCAGATGCAGAGAAAGCCCGGGAAAAGCTCCACGGCACATTGGTGGAAGGTCGTAAGATTGAGGTAATTTTCCTCTCTCTCTCTCTCTCTCTCCCGTCTTCTCTTCTGTCTTCTCTCTGTACTCATAATTCTGCTTGATCACTGACTGCTAGCTCCCATCCTCCCTGTAGTGATATGCTCTGATGCAGCCCACTGGTATCCCACTCCCTGGTCCTCTCTGCATTATGTTCATTTTGAAATTTCAAAAGACTTGTTTGTGTGGTGGGAATGGTGGGGGGTGGGGGGTGCAAGAACACTACATAAGGCATGCTGGGTACTTTTCCTCTGCAGCATATTCTTTTTTCACATTAAGCTGTTGCCTCTTCACCTTTTTTTTTTCTCCCTCTCCCTCGACTGAGTCGCAACTCGTAGCCACGCGGATGTTACAACTTTTTCCGCAACATTGGAATGATGTTTGTGTAGTTGGCACCGGAGGGCACGAGAGGAACGCAGTGAAAAGGATGATGCATGGCAGATTGTTGTCAGATGCTCTTATTTTCTTCCCTAGTGTAGAAATCCTTCTGTGTTCCCGTCTGCCGGTGCTGTGGCTAAGTGGTTGTGACAAGCGTCTGGCCTCTTGGTGCAACAGCAGCATGCTGGGAAAAAAATCACAGCCACACTGATGCATGTTCACTCTCTGGGGTTCCTACAAAGATCTGTGCACTTGAGTTATGATGTATGTTAAGTTTATTTCTTTTCAGGTTATTTATGTTGATTTAATTATACATGTTTTGGGTTTTTTGTTTTTTTTACTGAAGCATGTGAGTTTTTGGAAGCCGTTTTTCTTTTTTCTTTTAATTTGGGGTGTCAATCAGCCAGTCGTCCATATTGGATCTTTGACCCATGTTGCTGTAAGCCGGGATTTCTGCATGGGCTTACTGTGGTGACTTCCTGTGGTGTGTGTGTGTGGGTGTGTGTGCGCGAGTCAGTTCCTGCATGGTGGATGCGGCTGGCTGGGACCCCCTTTATAGTACTCTCAGTTCTGCCGCAGTGTGGTGGAGAATGAAAGACCGCCACCTGCACCCACCGGTACAACACACTCCCTCCGCCACCTCCACCTTCAGCCAATCAGCAAGCTGAGCGGATACTGATGGAGCCGGTTCACCCTGCATCAGTCTCTCCCCTTGTGTTCAATCAACAGCCTGCGTTGTCACTGGCATCGCCGTAACCTGATTCTCTGTTTCTCTCTCCCTCCCCCTCCTCCCCCCCTCCACACACACGTTTTGCATGATGCCAGTCAGCCGTATTAATCAACGAGCAGTCGTTCTCTGTTTTGGGTCATCACTCTGCATGTACTCTGTCGTGCTCCGGTAGTGGTGTCGGGCTGTAGCGAGTCGTGCATCAGGCTGCATGGCGGGCCGGCTACAGGAGTCCGTAGAGTATCTCTCTCTGTGTGTCTGTCTGTGGTGCATGGGCTCGAGGAGACAAAAGGCTGGCGCAGGACGAGTCGTGGATACGTGTTTGCACATTCTTTTCAACCCGAGGAGAGAGGGCCAGACTTTTTCTTTTCAGAGGCAACGCCATCTGGCTTCGACTGGTCGTATCATTTCAGAGTTTGTTGAATTATTAGTTGTTTTTTTTTAGAGATGAATATGGCAGAAAAATAACGACGGTAATCTGCACAATAATTCATGAACTCTGAAATATCGGCCTCCTGTATACAGCGGTTACACATGAATACTTCACTATTACTGTGTGTGAGTGTGCGGTTCACTGCTATCCACCGGCATGAGTTGGGTTGACGTAGGCTGCATGGTTGGTATTTTAATGTGGAGATGTGGAGCTGAGGCAGAACCGCAGACAGCTGGATGTGTGTCTTTTTTTACTCGCATGTTTATTCTCTGCGGCCGTTCGTTGAACTCGTTTTGGTGATGGGGACTGTTCACTTGTTCGGTTGGCATGAAATCCATTGCACCTGGGTGCCTCCTAGTCTTACTCCACTCACTGAGGGGAAAAAACAAAAAAAGGCTGATTATTTGAGTTCTTAGTTTTTTTTGAGTATGTTTTGATTGAATGATTTAAAAAAATGTTTGCTGAACTTAACTGGAGTGCAGGCGTTTGGTATTCTTTGTGCATGCCAATGGGAGTTGGCTAGTAGCTCTTCTCATAGCTTAGCTGCCCCATTAGCGTGCATGTGTTGTAGCCTGTAGGAACCAGAAAGAGAATTGTTGTGCTTAAAGTTGTACTGTACTTCTCTTCGTCTGGAATAAAACTCTGCGCTTTGAAGAAGTCAGTTCCCTGTGTGCTTCCAATGTATCCATGTAAGTGGCCCAACTACGATTCACTTTGTCTCTTCCTGCTTCTCTGTGATCCCATCTCATCACAATTCATTCTATATATATATAGAGTCCTGTAGGCCTATATATAGGTTGCACAGTGTGTATCTCAGTATGCACTCACAAACATACGCACCTCCATGCATCTCCACCCACTCAGGGCTGTCTCCAACATAACGTGTCTGCCTCGGGTAGTAACATTGTGGCTGTCATCGACTGTAGGACCTAATCACAGAGTCTCTCCAAACCATTCAGTCACATGCGTAGTCACAGATTTCATTCTTGCGCTGCAATGACTGTCTGTGCAGGAAGTGCATTAGGGTCACTGTGTGGTCTCATTTTGCGCGGCCGCAAAAAACCCTCGATCAGGAAATCTTTAAGTTCACGTTGCATAAACGTAGTAGTCCACACCAAAACCAGGGGAATTCGTGCTTCTCGTTACCCAATTCGACACCATGGTAAAACAAAAACAATAAATCCTAAGGACGTAAACACACATTCCTTTATTAGCGTTCTGTTTTGTAGTTTATTATTAATGATGATTTACCTTAAGTTTCCCGCCAAAAACAACATTTTACAAGATTACATTTGAGCACATCATGATAGCATTATAATTAATCTTTGCCCAGTTCAGATTTTTAATGAATAATATCTTCAACATATCTTACTGTCTTTCAATGAGACCGCCATGCGTTAGCCGTTAGCGCCGTTATTTAGCAAAGCGGACTGGGCAGCCCACCGGCTGCTAAAAGCTAACGTTAACTAGCTCTGCTCCTGCCGATTTCAGCACTTATTTGTTGTTCGCGATGTTGCATTAAAAGGGACATTTTCTATTTTCGCCGGGACGCGGATAATCTTGAGCCCTGATCCCCGGTATCTACGGTACCAGTACAAAATAGTCCGGTAAGATTTTGAGAATCGTATGAGAAAGTCGTTGTGACATCCCGACTGGCTATTAGAATTCAAACTAATTCCAACCGGAATAGTTTCATTTTATCTGGGAATGAACCCTACAGACTCCCGTTCACTAACTCCTGCTCTGAGGTTGCGTGTCTGTGCTTGATCTGTGTGGCTTGAGTGTTACAGGAAGTGACTGCTCCTCCGCAGCGCAGAGTTTTAGTCAGACATTTGAACACAACAGAGCAGAAAAGCTGAGGTGTGTGTGTCAGTCACATACGTGCCGCAGCTCTGCATGCAAACGGAGGGGGGGGGCTTCTACTGAGTAAAGAGTGTAATCATCAGTGCATGGATGAGTGCCATGAGAAGAAGCTGTGCCTGTGGTTTTGCATGCCTGACACAATCTCACCACACACACACACACTCTCCTCAACGAGACACAGCTGGCCTTCAGCTCACATAAACCATAATTTTCAGTAGCGCTATTTCCATAGTTTGGAATTGGTGAGATTGTGAGTCATTGGATGGGCCGAGGTGAGAGCTTACCAGCTCCTCGTGTCCCCCCCCCCCCCCCCCCCCCCCCGGCTTTGGATGTGACCGGTGCCGTTTTGTTATCAGAGCTTTCTGTTACTGCATGGTTTGAAACGATGTAACGAATGAAATGTGTGAGTATCCATGTGTGTTTGCTTTGTACGTGAGTGAAAATGTAGAAGAAAAACAAAGGTTGAAAGAAAAGGGGAAAGAGAGTTTTGCACTTTGCCCTTTCCAACTCTCTCTCTCTCTCTCTCTCTCTCTCTCTCTGTGTGTGTGTGAGATCACTTCATTCTCTTGTTGCCAGTCAAGTTTGTCTTTCTGTCCCCCTTTGTGTTTAATTTGAAAGCAATCTGTAGCCATTTTCCCTCACTTTTAACCTTCTTTGTTTTGCCGTCATCTCCGTCTGCCTTCATCTGTTTTGTTTTCCAATTTTCTCTCTTTATTTTTTTGATTGTTTGACTATCAAACAACCCTCAGTGTGTTGTTTTTTGTGGTGACAACTAGAAATTACAGCCGCTCTACCCACGGCCAACTTTCCAAAGGCGTGCGCTCTTCTCTTGTGGCCTAACCGTCCCACACAGGAATGAGTCACGGCTAAAATACTTGTCCGCTTGTCCTTTTGACAAGCGGACAAGTATTTGAGTTGAGGGTTCATTTGAGTTCATTTGTATCTCGGGAAGTGTTCCAATTCGCTGCATCTCAGCCCCTCGCTGCACAAGGCTAGTTCTTAGTGGGTAAGGCAACGTTTGATCGCTGTAATGATGCTCTGAGCAAGCGTCCTCTCTCCCTTTTTCTTCCTCTCTCTTCTTCCTCTCATCCTCTGTTCTGAGCTGTGACACTGCTGCTGTCAGCTTTTTATTTCACATGGGTCAAGAAGGAGGATGAGGGGGGGAGGCATTTAGGTTTCTTTTGTTCCTGGGATTATTTGTTCCTTTATTTATTATATTTTTTCTGTTTCCCTGACGACTTCTGTGTGTTGTTGTCAGTCTCCACGGTAACCACTCGCTGTTTCTACGGCAACGGTAAGTTGTGTTCAAACATCTATCACTGAACTGAAATCCCCCCCCCCCCCACCCCCACCCCCCCTGATATGGGCATTCGATACAGTCGTATGTACAGTACAATGTTGGTCTATCAGCTGATGTTAATGTGACAGGCCCCGCCCTACAAAGCTACTGCTGTTACGTAACGTTCCAGCGCACAACACTGTATCACAGACAGACAGACAGACAGACAGACAGACAGACAGACAGACAGACACAGCATCCTTCAACAGAGTGGGTATTCTAGCAGTAATGTTTCCTCCACCTGCCCGTCCCCCACCATGTCATTAACACCTCACCGGGAATGACCGAATGTAATCACCCTCCTCCATGCAATGACACGGCTATCCATCTGATTAATTCTCCATTTGGACTCAATGTATGTACAATTCATCTTCTTGATCAACGATTAAAAAAGAAAATCAACAGAAATGATACGAAGCTTTGCTCCTGGTTTGCTGCCTTCAGTTGCTCTGACTGGACACGGAGCAAATAACGCTGTAATAAAGTTTTATTTATTTTATTGACCTGCCTGCTTTTAGCTTAGTGTGCGTTTGTCAAATATCAGCCAATTGGTTTAAATGTGCATTTGGAGTTTATTGGCGTCGTATTGCAGTTGGAGGGAATTTACGTCCGTTTACAATATTCATACGTTAGTCCTGTCTTAAGAAAGTCCAAAATATTAGCAAATAACTCTCTCCCAAATCCCAAAATCTGGAGTGCTAAAACCGGTCCTCATGACGAGCTACCAAAGCTGCTTCTTCTGCAGCCGCAGTACAAAGGATAAAACACTGGAATATTCCCCAGAGGATGATATTTGATTAAAGAAGTCAACTACTAATTCATAATAATACTAATGACAAACATCAGCTGTCACTCCTGCTTGTAAATTCCGTTTTTTTTAACATGACGGGCGGTTTGCGTGCTCTCTGCAGGACGGTGACTGCGCTCGGCCAAATCATTATTAGGCGAGAGAAGCTTCACTCTGTAACACAACTGTACAACAACGAGTGGACGGAGTGTCTTTGTCCTCCCAAGAACTCCAACAGAGTGAGACGTCTTCCATCAAGTCGCATTATCTAGTTACACTTTCATTCATATCACATCAATGATTTAAAAGGTAAGGTGTTGAGGGGTATCTGTAATAACTCAAAAACGCTGCTTAGACAGCGACTACAAACATTTAACGTCTCATTGGAGATGACATCACACGTTTGAGACTTTGAGAGAGCGGCGCTCTCGTCCCGACCGTCGACACAACTTTCCAAATGTACAACCTAGACTTTAAAACGTCTTTTACCATAAACAATGAAACTGGAACTTTTATTTATTTTTCTTTAAAAAAAAAAAATGCATGTAAAAAGTCAGTTTAGAAACCATGCTGCTTCAGATGTGGTCCCTTATCAAATCCGTGTTGTTATCGAATCATATGCATTTCAAAACCGATATGGGGTTTACCGTACTGTGTTTTGGGTCTCTCTTATGCTGCCATGTTGTTTTTCTCTCTTTGGTTTGGTTTTCTCGTAGTGGATTGTCTGTGTACTAGTAGTCGTAGTCGTAGTGTTCTGGTCCTAGTTTGTGACACACAGTTCTAATGCCTGGCATAGTGTCTCATGTTTATTTGATTTTCTCTCCTTTTTTGGGAATGAGGACTGCTCTCTCTCTCTCCCCCTCTCTCTCTCTCTCTATCTCCCCCCCTCTCTCTCTCTCTCTCTCTCTCTCTGTTCCCTCCATCCTTTGGTGCTCTGTTTCTCAACCCCACCACATATAATGAGATTTTCAGGAGAATGGTCACCAAATCTAATTGCTTTATTTGAATGATGCACCTTGGGATTTATGTTTTGTTTTTAAACGGATAATTGTTATTGGTTATCTTTCTGTGTTGCTCATGTAAACGTATTTTTTTTTCTCCTCCTCTTTCTCTTCACTCCATCGTTTTGTTCTCCTGTTTATTTATTCTTGTGTGTACATGGACTGGCTCCGCCTCTTTCCTTCTCACCTGCATCCCTTCCTCTTTAACGTATCTGTCCCATCTTTGTCTCGTACGTGTTCGATGTGGGAGTGCTGCGACTGTTTTGATTGGTCTCTATGCTGCATCCGACGCTTGCTGATTGGCTGAATTCTTTTTTTTTTTTTTTTTTTTTTTTTTTTTGGTTTGTTACTCACTCTTGGTCATGTGTTGCGCCCATATTTGGCTGCGTGTAATCTCTGTTATATGACTTATTAATTTTGTCAAACAAATGTTTTTTGCACCCCTCTCTTTCTCTCCCTTGTATTTACTTTTTATTTATATTTCTTTTTAGGTATGTAAACCCCACAAGTTTGGTTTCATATGGAAATGTGACTTCATTTTGTCCTGGTGTTATCGCTCAGGCCGGACTGGGGGGGCAAAAGTGGGACGAGAAAGACTGAATGTTTATTAACACTTTGAGATTTGCCTCCATATTCTGTTGATTTGCATGTGTTCCTGTCACTCAGTTCCGATGATTGCACATGACACAAACACGCTGTGTACACACTCACACACACACACACACACACACAATTAACATAGGCCTAACTCTTCATGAGCATTAACTAGTCAACATAAAACTTCTCGTGAAAAGGTCACCGTGACGAGTTGTTCATTAACTTTACATTTCATAAATGTTTCCACTCAGACACCCGTGGACAGTCGCGTCCTGCAGCTTAGGCTAATTGAATGGTTTGCCGGCGACCTTGCCATTTGCGATGAGGGGGAAAATGAGGTGACTGGCAAGAGAATGAAGTGATCTGAGAGAGAGAGAGAGAGAGAGAGAGAGAGAGAGAGAGAGAGAGAGAG